TGGTAGTAGGACATTGCATCCCTGTATTCTTCTTTTTCTTATTTGTTGTTAGTTGTAATGTAAGACGGGATTTCACAACAATTTAATATTATGTATCAAAGACTTTCATTAGCCCTATGTGCCGTTTCCTTCTTCTTTTTGGATTTGCCTCCAAGGCCTTTCTCCACCAAATTAAAAAAGTACAAGGCAGCAGTTACTACATTTTGGTGTTTTACCTCCTATATGGGTTGGTGTCCCTAGCTATCGAGTCTTATCTTGATTAGGTTCGAACTGAGGACTTGCAGGTTTAGCAACCGACTCCACCGACCCTACACCCCTGACAATTATCCCCTATTTGACTCTTTCCCGCGCCCTCTGCCAGTAACTATTGATAGTAAAAACTTATAGTATATTGAAAGCGTTTTTATAGGAATATGGTTACGATTACGGTTAGGCTTAGCATTAAGCATAACCTTAGTACTATGGTTAGTTTTATGGATTCATACAGGGTTAGTCTTAACGTTAGAATAAAAAGTATTGGTTTTGGACAGGGATGAATTAAATTCAATTGTTGTAAAGTTTGTGATTGGGATGGGTTTAGGGATAAAGGTTGGATGTAAAAATAAGATGAATGAAAATAAGCATATGAATCATTTTAGGAAATGTTAAAGATAGGTTAAGAAAATGTGTGGATAATGTTAGATCTATGGCTAAGGTTACTTTGGTAAAAGTTATCGATGGAATATTCTTATAGAGCACATTACATATATATATATATATATATATATATATATATATATATATATATATATATATATATATATATATATATATATATATATATATATATATATATATATATATATATATATATATATATATATATATATATATATGTATATATATATATATATATTTATATATATATATCTATATATATATATATATATATATATATATATATATATATATATATATATATATATTTATATATATATATATATATATATATATATATATATATATATTTATATATATATATATATATATATATTTATATATATATATATATATATATATATATATATATATATATATATATATATATATATATATATATATATATATAAATATATATATAAATATTTGTATGTTGATAGAGTAAGCAAAAATACGATACATTTTCTCCCACAGATTAACAGCTGTTGATGATAAAAACATGCAGTCAGAAGTTATCCCATTGTCTCTTACTCTCTGTACTGGTTGCAGTAATCAGGGATCATGTAACTTCTCTGTTACCAGACCTACCTCATCTCCTTATTTTACCTATGCAATCTGCAACTGTAACTCTACATATAGAGGCATGTTGATAATTTAATATATAACTTAAAAAAAAATGTTTTCCTACATTTTTAAAGTTTAAAGCTAGAGCTTTTAAAATATATTGAAGTTGTATAGTTTGGCAGATGTTTTACTTTGATTTATATTAAATAGAAGTAAGCTGTATAGTTTGGCATTAGTTTTACTTTGATTTATAATAAATAGAAGTTTAATAGAATTTCTGCATAAGCCTAAATAACATTCTTTCTTTATAACATTTTTACAGCTATATGTATAAATTTGAATTATATTATGCAATAATCAGTTTGCAAAATTTAAGTTAAAGTAAACAGATCTGTCTGTATACACCTTCACAACTTTATTTTTTATAATTCTTAATAGGAGTTGATTGTGAAGAAATTATTGATGGCTGTGCTGATAAGCCCTGCCCATTAGGTTGTACAAATCTTTCAAACAATATAAATCAGGCTACTGGAGTATTTTATAACTGTGAAAATTGCCCTGTTGGTTTTAATCTTAGCATTACTAAAACCAAGTGTGAAGGTATGTTTTTTCCATATTTTAATTTTAAATATTTTTGGGTATGATGTAAACTCAGTGTGTTTACTACATGCATTTGAATAATCGATAGTGATATTTTAAGCAAATTAAATGTACACTATAGTATTAAATATGATAGGTACTTAGAGCTACACAGTGAAAATGTGGAATGCATTTCAATCTAGACAAAAGCAAACTATAACTCTTGAAATAAGAGTATTTCTATAATTTGTCTGCTTTCTTTTTTAAATTATTTTTAAAAAATTATAAATGTAAAAACATTTACTGAACAAAGTACAGTAGACACTATTTTTAAAAACAAGTTGTTAGCTATGTAAAACTAATAAATAAAGAATTATACATGTAATTTAAGCAACATTCCTTATGCACTGTATATTAAGACTATTATTAAATATATTGTATTAACAGACTTTGATGAATGTCAAACTTCACCATGTGATTCTCATGCTGACAGTGAAAATACTTATGGACGCTTTTTGTGTCACTGTCAGAGTGGTTACCAAACTGTAAACAACAATTGTGTAGGCAAGTAGTTTTTCTATTTCTAAAATCAAAATAGAATAAACAAAATATGAAGAAATTGTTAAAATTCATAAAGAATCCATACTACACATTTGTCATCTTAACATATAATATACCATTTATTAATATTTAGAGTAAATTACCTTTGTTATCATTTTTTAAAGAATTAAATATTACGATGTAATAATCTGGAATATTTTAAAATAAAGTATTTCACATTGTTTATTTTGTATATTATTCATTGTAAAAATATCTTAGACATAGATGAGTGTGCTGATAAACTAGATAACTGTGATCAGTTATGTACCAACACTCTAAGAAGTTTTAATTGTTCCTGTTATCCTGGTTTTAATAGCTCCAAAAATGCATGTATTAAAACAGAAACAGGTGAACATTATTTTTTAAAATTTATTTAAATCTTAACATTGATACTATTCATTTATGAGGATAGTAAACAAGAGACGAATAATCAAATATTTTAATCTTCACTTTATTTTTAATTTAAAGGTATAAATCAGTGTAAATCAGTCAACACAACATGCACATATCGCTGCAATAATGACACTCAAGGCTGTTTTTGTAAACGTGGATTTATTCTGAAAGAAGATGGCATTGATTGTATAGGTAATTCAGTATTAATAATAATATAATTAGAATAATGGTCGATATTGTTTTGCTTTTATTTTGAAACATATTCATTATAATGAACTTTATACATAACAAAATAATATTTATTTAATTGAGTACAGTTTTATACAATTTTAAAGAATTCATTTTGAAATAAGTATTTTGAGGTTACTAATATATATATATACTCAAACTTTTAAAAAAAAATTAAATTGCTTTAAAAATCTCTTAAAATAAAAAAAAAATTTATAAATAAAAAATATGTACTCATTAATTTACTAACAGATTTTTAAGATAATATTTTAATGTGTGCATCAGCAATAAAATTACTGTTAACTTTAGAAACTTTTAAAAGAGACATTACATTTTAATTTTAGTGTGCCATACCTTGTGACCCAACAATTTTATTTTTTCAGCTGTGGACCCTTGCGTCAATTTTTATCTTAACTGCACCTCAATGTTTCTGTCATACTGGCTTCACTCTTAGCACTAATAACTTTGATTGCATTGGTGAGCTAGTGCATTGTTTAAAATTGACATTTTTTCAACTATATTTTTAACAATTGGAGTTTAACATAATTAAATAATAAAATACAAGTAGGTTTTAGTAACCCTGTTTTATTAACATTAGTAAAACATTTCTGTTCCTCAACTTAAAACAATTTGAAATATTTCTATCAAAAACAACAAAAAGAATAATCATTTTATTGTTATTATGAAATTAACACATTATTTTAAGAATAAAATTAACTATAAACATTTTACTAGAAAATATCTAGCCATTCTGTAAAAATTAAAAATAAATCACTAATCAAATTTTTTTTTTTTAGATGTAAATGAATGCAAATCAGAAAATAACAAGTGTGATGGAAACTGTGTTAATACTATGGGCTCCTACAACTGCTCATGCCCTGTAGGCTATAAACTGCAAAATGATAAATTAAGCTGTCGAGGTAAAATAAGTTATTTTTAAAAGAGTAGTAATTTATGACTGCATTGTGTTTGCTCTCCTTACATGTACAATCATAATAATGCAGGTACATCACATTGTTTCCAGCATATGCTATTTAAGCGTGTGAATATTTTTTCTTAAACTGCTATAGTTTACAGTTCTATTTTTATTTTGCCACTCTTATTTGTTTTTAATATAATTTTTTGTTTCTGAAAATATTATATTTAAAGCAATAATATAGTTTAGTATAAGTTCTCATAATGCAAATGATGTTTTCCAAAAAACCATAATTTTTTAATGTTTATTTTCATCTAGCATGTGATGCTTATCATTGGGGAGATAACTGCGAAACTACATGTAACTGCAGCATACAAGGCACGTCAAGTAGTGATGCTGAAATTGGATGTCAATGTAAAACAGGCTGGGCTGGGACATGGTGTGAGATTGATCAAGATGAATGTTCTAGTGAAATTTTTCCTTGTCTGCCATTGTCTACATGTATTAACACACGTGGATCATTTGAATGTCAGTGTAAAGAAGGATACATTGACTTAACTAATCATACATGCACAGGTAATGTGAACATCCTTTTTATCTTTGTATTTCTTTTAAAGGCACATACACATCATTATTAATCACCAATTCTTGAACCTATTTTAATACACCAATTAAGTAAAATTATTAAAATATTTAACCATTTAATTATATTTTAATGAAAAATGCTTCTGAAAAAATTATTTTTGTTTTGTTTATTAAAGATAAAAAACATAAATTCTAAGCAATTTAAACACAAATAACTCCCTTGAAATGGTAATAATAATGACTTATTATTAAACTAATTATTCATTTAAGTGTACAGATAGAGTCATAGAAACCTACATTGTTACCATGTGTTTTCAGAATGTTATTATGGAACTAACAGATACAGTTGTAATCAAAATTGCACATGTAATGTAACAAAGGGTATTTGCTTTCCTGAGAATGGAACATGTGAGTGTCTAAAGGGATGGAATGACACAGGCTGTAATACTGATATAAATGAATGTAACTACCAAATCAATCCATGTCAGAACAATTCAAACTGTGTTAACACTTTGGGATCATATAGATGTGTCTGTGATAAAGGCTTCTTTAAATCAAACCATGGTTGCACTCGTAAGTATTTTACATTTTTATTTATTTTTCATTTATTATTTAATTTTTTATTTTGCCCAAATAATATATTAATATTAGAACCTATTATAAAAAAAGAAAAAAATTGACAGTTTTGAGCAAACATTAATTGACACAGCTAACTGAAAAGCCTTAAGACTTATTGTTTTGTAAATTAAAAATTGAAAATGAAAGTTTTAAAAATTAATTTTAATTATTTTACAATATTTGTTTTAGCTTGTAGTAAAATGAAATTTGGTCAAGACTGCAGTGAAAAGTGTAATTGTGTTCAGCTTCACACTGAGAAATGCAATAATATTGATGGATCCTGTACATGAAAGCCCGGCTGGACTGGAGTTCATTGTGAGACAGATATTAATGAATGTTTAAACACTTGCTACTGTCCAGATGCTGATGACCATTGTTTTAATATAAATGGATCAGCAGAATGTAGATGTGATGAAGGATTTGGAAAATTAATTGGCCCACTTTGCAAAGGTCAGATAAATTATTTTATCATTGATATTTATCTTATAAAAGTAAAGTTCCCTTTCAAACCTGATGGTCTACGGTGCAAGTGAAGTAGAGTTCACCTGTTTCTGTAGCCTCAATATATGTAGGGATAATGTGGTCAGTACTATACCTAGCCCCCTTGACTTACACTAATGTGAGTAAGGTACCCATCAGAGCTGGGTGGACAGGGACGGTGTACTGACTTGAACCCAGATTCAAACTCTAAACTTTTGGGTTAGCAGTCCAGCTCTCTACCGCTAGGCCACTCTGTCCAATACGTAAGTTAATATTCCTATTCATGTCGTAAATGATACTTTGCTCTAAAACTTAGCATCTCAATTTCACATTTTTTTTGCTCTCATTAAAATTGAATCTAAATGAGCTGCTTAAGTTACACTTCAAACATTTTACATTTACAGATATAGATGAGTGTCTTGATCCATCTTACCAATGTGACTACAAAACTACAACATGTAGCAATACAGAAGGATCATATGAATGTATTTGTAAACCTGGACATTTAACAAAAACAAATGACAAATTTGCTTGTACAGGTGACTTTTTAAATCAGCTGATAATTTTATTTTTGTACATTTTAGAAAGTAGATTGGCATAGGTGAATTCTAAAAGAATTAATCATCGTATTTTCCTGTTCGTGCTTAAGACATATGGGGTAGATAACCTAGAGTTCATCTGTTTCAGTGATCTCTTTACTTTCCCTAATTTGATTTAGGTACTCTTTAGAGCTGAGTGGATTCGGGGACATCCTACTGAGTTGAACCCAGATTCAAACTTGAGACTTTTGGGTTATTAGCCTAGCGATCTACCTCTAGACCAAGCTGTCCCATAGGGGAATCAATCAGAGACCCAACACTCAGTTTCTAGTGCTTGAGCCAATAGGCATTCCAGGGAATATAATGCTCTTATAATGTGACTAGACATGTGCAGACCATAAAATGCCACATGATGTCTAAATACATTTATTAACATCAAAATCACAAAGTTATTATGTAATCAACTGATTCAACTGCTGATGTTTCCATACAGTGAATTATGTTTCATTCCCATTGACTGTTCAACTTCAGTATCCCAATGAAAAAATAAACCCATTCTTGTTTATTTCCACTACGAGAGAATCAAGAGAATTATCAAGTAAAATTGCAGATAGTGTAAGTTTTATTTATTATAAAACATACATCTAGACTAGAAAGTTAAGAAGGGTTGCTTTTGTGCTTTATTTAGTCTAATTAAGATAAAATAATCATCTAGGATATTATTGTTTCAAATATCCATAATATTTCTTTGAAAGCTTTTGATATATATATATTGGTTAAATAATAGTTATCAGCGACAGAAGCAATTTTGTTGTAATTGTGTAGATCTTTGAAATGGAATTTAACCAACGTTAAATCACTTTTGGTTTTAAAACAGTTTAAAGGGATCTTGCAACATTTATTTCAGTTAACTAAATTTGGTAAAGAAAAACTTGGTCAAGCTATTTTGCCTTTCATTATAAAAAAACTGGTGTAAGTATTTTACAAATTTAATTTTGTGATGTAATTACTGTTACTTTATATCTTCATTAAAATAAAACCTTGAATTCATTTATAATGTTGATATACGCCAATACATTATAGTAAAGTAAAATATTATATTCTTAAAGACAACTTATACCTTAAACATTTTTTTTCATATAGAAATGGATCAGTTATTGCATATACAGAACTACAGGTTGATCAATTGTACAGTGACTCTAACTCAGACCCAGCGTCAACATTTGCTTTTGAGCTAAACAAAGCTGGAAATTTGACAATTGGTTCTGAAGTAGTTGAAGTACTAGATGTTTCTGTTTGTAACACTTCATGTAAGTCAATACAAGTTGTTATATTTTTTTTTCTCTGTCTAATACATTTCAATGAACTCAAGTGTATAAAAAATTTAAATACATTTCATTATGAAACAGTTAGACTTTAAACAGATATTCAGAATAATAAATGATATTGGTTTAGTGTCTGAGTATCAGACAAGTAAAATGAAATATTATTTAACACATTTTTTTAAACTTTGAGTTGATAATAAAAATATTCATAATTATTCAATCACTTTTAAAAAAAATAATATAACAAGAAATTTAGACAATGTGTAATAGAAATATACTTAAGTAAGATGGATGATTTTACAGTTGATTCACATTTACACATTTTTGTAAATAGTGAAAAAGTTACCAAGTTCATGTGAAGTGTACTCTGTGTTAAAGAACTGCTCATCTAGTACATCATACAAAGAGAACACAGTAGCATCATGTAAAATCATAGGTAATTCATTAAAAATAATGAAAAAAAATATGCAGAATTTATGGTGAATTTGCAAACTCATTTTATATAACACTGTTCTCTTTAAACTATAAATATATTTTTATTGTGCTTGTTTTACCATTTTATATATTTGAAATTGAATATATGACATTAGGAAAAGTAAAGGTGGCTGAGCCTAATCCTGACCACACTGTCCCTTCATATTCCAAGTTAATAGAAACATGTGAACTATATTTTATCTACCCCATTGACCCTCAGCTTTTGAAAGGGTAATATTACTTACAATGTCAATACAGGCTATAAGTAGCATGTAACTTTATAATTATGTTTGTCCTATAAATACTTATTTAAAATAATAAAATAAGATACACTATTTTAAGATGCTGAAAACAAAACTGCATTAATAATTGGACTGTCAGTTGGACTTAGCCTGTTTGTCATCATCACAATAGCTGTTGTGGTGTTTGTTATCTTGTACTATAGAAAAAGAAGACATAAACGTGTTAAGGAAGAATATATTGAAATTATTCCGTAAGTTTTTGTAATGAATGTGTCATAATGGTTTCATAGCACAAATTTAGTCAAGATAAGACATTTTGATGAATTATTTTAACTTAGTTAATATGTGGATCTTGGTAATTATGTAAATCACTAAAAGTTTATCTGCAATGATTGTGCAAAAATAATGTATGCCTTTAACTGTGTGATAATAATGCTGTGGTGAAATTATCCTTTTATAAAGTCTGTCATGGAAGCACATTCAAGATGCAGAGTTCTAATGTTTTCTTAAATCTTTTTCTAAGACAACTGATATCCCCATTACCAAATGACGCTGTGTACAAAACAACTGAGGACTATCACGCTTACAATAAACCATTTAAGGATTCAGAAATAACTAACAGTACATACAATGAAATACAGAATAATCAAAATAGTGTAATTGTTATGAATGCAGATTTAAACAACTCTCCATACAATGAAATCCCCATCAAAGAAGACAATGAAGTTGCCAACAAAGCGGTAGAGGCTAACAGTCTTTATAATGAAATAGCCACTAATCCAGAATATGATAAAATTCACAATCCATACCATCAACTAACTGAATCTGGAACTAATGACTTAGACATGGAACATGTAAGTAGTACAAAGTTTGGAAATATACATTTATTATGAATGACCACAATGATTGGTTCAGATGAAGTAGAAGTAGGGTTTTTTTTAAAATAAATTTTCATGCTTTTTAATCTTAAGCTCTACCTTGATGACATATTTTTAAATTTTTTTACCCACAGGTTTATGAAAAGATCCACAAGTGAACAGTTGAACTTAATCTATGCTTAACAACATAAGTAATCGTTAGTATGATATAATTAATTATAATAAACAATAGTTTTTTTGTACATCACTTTGCCTGTTTCATTCATATATTAAAATTTACATGGAGTTGTATACACCTATATGTCACCAGAACAAATAAAATCCTAGAATTTATGGAATACCTAGGCAATTTAGCAATCTCTGTTGTTGTAAGGCAAGGTGTGAATTATCTGTGTTCTATAATTTTTCTAGGCATTACATGAAATGCATATGCACTGTAAAGACTGAATTAGAAAGTTGCTCATATTAAACGTGAAACATCCAGATTGGAAAAGTCCAATAAACAATCACAACTGAAAATTTAACTTCAAATATTAACCCCTTAACCTTCTATTTTAAAACCAACATGGTCTTTATCCAAACGTTTAAGCACACAAAACTAGTGGAAGAAAAAAAGGATTCTTTGAAATACACATCTATTCATGTTTTTAATTATCAACAGTGGTTTCAGCTTAACCTTCATCGTTGCATGTTTCTTTCATTTGTATTGTTGGTACACTTTTTAATCAATGTTTTTATTTTTTTCTCTGTTTGTATACCTTGTTGTAAGATATCTTGTTTAGGTGAGATGTTATGAGACACACTTTACATACTCTAGCTTTGCAGGTAAAAGAGAGCTTCCTAATATGCACTTTGAAGCACAGATTGAAAATCCCTATTATTCATAACATTTAAGATGGATGAAATTCTTTGCTATAGTGGTCAGTTTCCTGATAATGCATCCAAATAGACAGCATAGCTTTATGTCTGGGTTTGCACTTTCAACCATAATAATATTCTAAAATCTGCCTAATTTGATTTAGGTATTCTATAGATTGTCTAGCAAATGTATGAAATTCAATGCATTTTTATTTGACAACTAATTTCCGACATTTTATACACTCTCTATGTATGAAGTGTCTTACAGTTTTAGTGATTAGTATCTTGGTCCTAAATTGTTGAGAAATGGAAATATTTCATTAGACTTGGTTTTAATTTAAGCAGTATTATAATAATTTACACAAGATGTTCAAATAGTATTGAATTTAAATGCTGGTCTAAAGTTACTTAAGTTTTCCACTTTTACTACCCATGTCCAAAAAGATGGCTTGATTTTATGCAGTGCCTTTCTACATTATTTAAATGAGTTAAATTGAGATAGTGACTCAATCTATGTAAAAAGCATATGGGACTAGCCCATCACTAATATGATAAAAGGATCGGTAACAAAAACTTATACCTGTCTCCTTT